TTGCTCAATGCAAAAGAACCTTTGGTTTCTCCTTTTCTCCCTTGCTTCTCCTGCTCCCTCCCTCTCTCTCACTCTCTCTCACTCTCTCTCTCTCTCTCTCTCTCTCTCTCTCTCTCACACACACACACACACACACACACATGAACAATAACAAAAACCATGGTTTCATTAAGGATGAAATAAGAAGATAATATGACTGTTCACTTTTTTTTTATCATTTCAGATCGTTAGCGGACCAGAAATCGAAAGAGAATGTAATGGTGCATGTGAGAGAGTTTGAAGGTCACTATTCCATGAAGCTATGAGGGATCAAAAGCTATATGGTAAAAATAGGAATACATATTTTCATCAGATACTGATTCATTATTCTTGCACCCTATAATGATCATTCAGGAGCTAGAAGTGAACTATATATAATTATTTTTGATGAAATAAATTCCATTGGGAAGGTAAGTACACAACACAACGTTTATTTTTCTTTATGTCAATTTGTATTGTATGTAAATTCAATAATATTTGTGGTTGTATGTATAGAAAACAAGATGTCCTAATCTTGTCATTTTGGTTATGTGCGAAAAAGAGGACAAGAAGCTGGATTCAACCATCATGACAATAAAGTTGTAAACTATTCCATCTGTTTCTAAATATCTATCGTTTAAGGTTTTTATACAGGAATTAAAGAAATTATTAAATATCTCTAATTTGAGTAAAAAATAATTTTACAAGACTAAAATATCCTTATTCAATACGTATTGGGAATGAAATGAATATAAAAAATACTTAGCCTCCACTTAATCTAATGCATTAAAAAGTTAAGAATAAATTTGGAAGAAAAAATATTAATATGCTTTAGTTTCATTAAACGACAAATATTATGAAATAAAATTTTTTTAAAAAACGACAGATATTCAGGAACGGAGGGAGTAACTTTTAAGTAGGTGAGTTTCTCAAATAATTTTAGAAAAAAATATTATTTATGTTTTGGTTTTATTAAACGACGGATATTATGGAACAAAAAAAATTATATAAAATGACATATATTTAAGAACGGAGAAAATAACTTTTAACTTGGGTGAATTTCTCAAATAATTTTTCTGCCTTTCTTTTTTTGTTTTGCAGCGTGACCTAAGAAACAACTGAATTTAATGTTCAGATTGATGGGAAGGAATAACCTCATCATTATTGTTACAACTAATAGGGAGGACCTTCTTGACGAAGCCCTACTTAGGTAGCCTCATTCCTCTATTTTTTTTACTTTATTAGAATCTGGATAAATCCAATAAAATATCAATCACTAAGCCACTAAAACCTGAGCGTTAGCCTCGCTTCGAAGAATGTCCCATAATTTTTAGATGTGTAGCAATAGCGTAAATAAAAAATTTGAATATATAAGAAATAGGTCTCATAAAAAATTTAGATTTAAATTCAAATAAAAGATTTCAATTTGAGTGAAATCGACTTATTAATTCAGTCCATGGAATTAAAAAACCCTAAATTTCAAAAGGAACAAAGTTAACAATAAAACTAAACTACTAAAAATTAAGTCGTAACTCTTCTAAAAAATCAAATTCAAACTTACTATTATAATTTGTCAATCATTCTCTTCCTTTCTCTCTCTTACTATCAAGTTCAACTATAATAAAAAAAGCTTGAATATAAAAAAAGCTTTTTATACCCTTTGAACCGGATCCCTCGATTCATACAGAACCAATTTTTTTGCATCCTTGAAGGTTTAAAAACTAAAACAAAAGCTTGAAGGTTTTGATGCAAATGAAAATCCTCACCCATTTATAGGCCTTCTTCATCTTATTACGAATGACTAAGATAGTGTTAAAAGTTATACATTTATGGTGTATCTAGAATATTTTGAACAAATATCTAGACTTCTAATATGTATAAGAAAACGTTAGGTCTCTCTTGTACATCTTCTTATTTTCATTATATATTCTATAAGAGCAATATTATTGGAACAAAATAGATTGTGATCAATAGAGTGATAGTGAAATGCATTTAATGATGCAATGGGTCCCATCATTAAATACGTTCTCTATCAACTCATTGGTCACAATACATTATATCCTCAAATTATGTCCCTCAATTATGTTTCAATAGCATTAATCATTGGAGAATATCCCTTGAAGAATGTTTAAATAAGAATTAAAGAACTCATCCTAAAGTTGCTTGAAATTTTCAAGAAGATAAGACATGACAAAAAGCCTCACTTAACGTAAGATTTTGTGTGTTAAGATAACTCATTTTTGTAATATTTACATAAAAAATATGTAAGATTGAAAAAAACAAATGTAAAAAAAAAAAAGATATTCATTCAATTATGTCGTATCAGAATTGTTTCAATTTATACCCGTTTAATTTATAATTTTGTATAGTCGACTTTGTATTATATACAAGTTATATTTAACAAATTTGTTTTGTGTTTAGTCGGATTTGTGTTGACCTGTTTATTTAAATGACCTGTCAAGTTCATTTATTTATCACCCGTATTTATTAAGGCTAAACTCAAGCTCGTTATTTGCTACCGATTTCTTATTGAATTCCGGCTTAATATCTCTAAAATTATCTTAAAATTAGAAACCCTAAAAAATTTTTGAGCCCCGAATATGTGTATTAAATTGGGCCCCAGGGGGGTGGCCCAGTGCATAGGGCCGGCGCTGTCCAAACTTCAAGAGTCACTTTCTTGGTATTAGCGTCTATTCTTATATTAGTTTAAAGCAACATCACGCCTCTATTATTGCTATAATAATGTCATATGGATTTAAAATTAAATTTAAAAAATAGACTTAATAATTATAATTATTGGATAGATAATGAGTCGTAATAAATACTGGGATCCATAATAAAATTAATAGATGTAATTATCAAGTCTACTTTTTAAGTCTAATTTTTAAGTTCATGTAATATTACTCTACTGCTAATTTTGCATTAGAAAGGATGACTGAGAAGTTAAATAAATATGTAGAGTTACGTTAAGAGTGAAGGGGAAAACTTGTATTATTCGAAGTTCAGATGGCATACAAGAAAAAAGCTACAGTTGCTTAGTGCACCACCTTATGCTATAGTGAATCATTGAAGGAGGATATCCCCATATGAAGTGTGCGTTTGTTGTTGTATGGTTGTTTGATTAAAGTTATTGGTTGTTACTTTGAATCAAGTGAATATAATTATGTACCAAGTTTACAACAGGGCAAAAAAAAAAAATAATTTACAACAAACTGATTTCAGGTCTGAATTATTCAACCTGAAATTAGACTGAATTAGATAATTCGAATTCAATCCGAGTTTGTTCGAAATTAACTCGAACAGTACTCGAGTTGAGTATCTTGGGTGTTGGTCGAGTTAGAGTTAGGATTAAGCTTAAAAATTTATACCTAAAGTTGAGTTAAAGTATTGGTTTTGGGGTAGTAGCACATATGGGGTCCGGAAGTAGGGTTGTAGGATTTAGAAAGGTTAAAAACTTGCCATGGACCATTACATGGTTCCTGGGTCAGAAAAAGTTAGGAGCATTTGTAGGGACAATTTTTCTTGCACAAGGTGTGCAAAATCAATAACATATCCCCGATGGTGATTAAGGGAGACTGTGCCTGTATCATTCTTGACTTTCAGCTATCTTCAGTTCTCTTTCAGTCATGCAACAATGAACATTTGAAATTTGATGTTATTGTGAAGGTCTTGCCAAGATTTCTTTTTGTAATTTAATGAGATAGGTATGTGCTTAGTGCATATTTAATATTGGGCCTATTTAGAACCGACTCTTTTAGGTGAAAATTTGTGATTTGAAAAATTTTGTCAAAAGGCAAAACTAAAAAAAATCTTCCAAAACCGTTTGAGGTGTCCTTTAAAAAGTTAAACAAAATTAGAAAAATCGGTTTGAAATGACTTTTTAGCTTTTTCTTGTCAAAATAAAAATAAATAATTACATATATGTATAGATTATACATTATATTTTCTAAAATATGAATTTCAAATTATTTTACGTCACTAATAATATTTTATGAATATAATAAACTAAAAAATTATGAAAGATCTTTCACAAAACTCCATCAAAATCGAAAAAAAAACTCGTAAAATCAAATTCTTGAATCAACCTTTTTGAGTGCAAAAAATTATTGTATAAACTGTTAAAAAAACTAAGGTCTAAACGAACCTAACTTATTTTACTTCAAAACCTTTAAAAACTACCTATTTAAACTAACTCCAAATATGATCATTATTGTTGAATCTATTAAGCTTGATATCAAGAGTGACGCAATGCAAAAATTTTAAACAAGTAACACTGCAATTGATTGAATTTGGCTTCACCGCGTCTTCAATCAATTAAATAGCCTCCTATCAATGAATATGCATAGATTTAGACTGATCTATCCAATTTTTTACACATAAATCATACATCTATGATCTATTCGACAAAATGATTTGCATATCTGCTAGAGACAACTTCATCCATTATCATTTCCTGGCATAAATCCTGTCATTTTAGTTTTGGCAAAGGAGATGGTAATTCTACTTTCTGACTAGCTTTCTTTGCTTGTTAAATTAGTTCCGAGATGGATGAAGAACAAATGGTGAGGACCTTGACTCTCTTGTTTTTTCATTTTAAGTAAAGCGTCTTTGAAAAAGTATATCTTAGTAATGATATTTTTTTTCATAATGCAGGGCCCTCCAGTGGTTCTACCGACGACAGGCCAAGTCTTGCAGGAAGCAATTATAGTATTATAGATACAGTAGATACTAGATTGAATTCCTGAGGAAAATTCGACAAAGTGCACCACACAGTCAAAGTTAAATCCAGCAGTGGCTCTGGGATACTTTTGTGGTGTGTGAGGTTTAAGGTCGTAATTCTATAACCAAAAAGGTTATTACCCTTCAGAAAAAACTAAAAAAAAAAAAAAACGTTTTCATGCCACTAAAACTGAAACTCAACATTTTGACGCCAGAAACCAAGGAGCTAACAGAAGATGTACCAAGGTATTCGTTAAGAGAACCCTTCAAGAAGTTGAATGGGCAAGGGAGTCGGATTGTACATCACTAGCCCACAAAATGGAATTAGAGTGTGACAAAAGACACATCTACATATAAAGAGATTTACAGTAATCATACAAAACTGGGAATCTTTTTCACCAACCTCTGCCGGAGAAACATAGCTATCTAATGGGATTAGAGGTTGGGGAAAAAAAGGAAAAAAAGTATAGGGGTTTGGTAAACTATATGGAAACCGATTAAGATTGTGGCATATGACAAGTAATCTCGAAATACGCAGGTCAACATGGTATAGAACACAACTTGAGTAGATAATGCTAGAAGGTGGAAATTCAACGCTTTTTACCATTGGTCTTTGTAATCCTTGATTTATGGGATTCACTGGGTGGCTTCCATATGATATCCTCAAGATTGCCACAAAAGTTCTTGTAAAACTGCATCAGCAGATAAAAAAACCAGGCGAGTGTGGATCATCAGAATCCAAGAAAGTAATCCCTTTGTTCTCACTACTACACTAGGTAAGGGACAAATCATAATCACAGATATCGAGCAGCAACAGTGAGTAGTAAAACTGAAGGCAATAAAATATGCGAAAAATTACTTGGCATTAAAGCTTAACCACGTGGTAGAAAAGAGAACAATTTGAGCAACTGACCTTGAGATATTCACTAGCATCTCCAGCTGCTTTCTGAATATCTACCATCAAAAATGTGGGGGCAACTTGAAACACCTGTTCAGAAAATGGATTATTTAACTAAAATCAAAGGATGGTTGACTAGTGAGCATGGAAGATAAGGGCAGAGAAATTACTTCCAGAATTATCGAGAAGTGAGATGTCTTATTGGCTGAGAGACCCTCCACCCTCATCTGAAAGGAGTTTCAATTTTGAATGAGTTCAGAAAACATACATGACTTTTTAGTTTTTAGTATCACGTCATTAGTTGATCAACTTTTGGGGATATTGGACTAAGTATTGCATCAGGAAACTGGCTGAATTTACCAAGTTCAACTGCTCAACCTTATAATTACGAATATGTGTCTTGAAACCCATTGATTGTGCAACTACTTCCATACTCGATAAAACAACGTTCGCTGATTTCTGGGAAACAAAGCGTGTTTGATGCTTCACAGAATCCTGTCAAGAAGGGACAATGTATGAAATATATCAATGAGATGACAAATCCATTCACAATAAATTATCATCTGAATATAAACACTTCCTTTTAAATATTGGAACACATAAACATGGTATATGGCTGAAAAGGAAGATGAAATTGTACTGATCGAGATCAAAAAATATTTGACTCACTATCGAGATAAAATGTTAAGAACATATATTATCACTGGTTAATATTTGAGATGAAGAGAAGACTGCTTGAACGTCCACTGACTGGGCATAAGGTGACAAATTAAAAAAATATACCTGCCCACGGTCAAATATTGATGAAAGGTTCAAGCCTTGAGAGAGAATAATTAGGTCGAATGCATTAAGAACAAGAGGCCCCACATCCTCACTCCTGCTCTCATTAGCTTGTTCTTCCTACAAGATATCATTGTGCATTAAACTTTAGGAAAAGGTTTCAAAATAATAGCCAACAAATACTTACAAAGAAACTGGTGTGAAAGCTCCGTGATTTTAGCGAAAGGAGACCCCTCCTTGAAAATATATCAAGTAGAGTAAATAGTGAATGCTAAGGTAAAAGTAGAAATTATGGTTTCAATAAGGGATAACTTTATCCTTTCATAGATGTGTTTTATGGTAGTTGTCATCTTTATATTTCATCAAATTCCCAAATCAACTACATTCAAGTGTTCTATCCACTGATAAAGCAAAACTTAGTAACTGAAGTGGAGAATGGAACCAAGACGGTGAGCACCAAGTAGAGCATGATTCCCTAAAAATAGTGAGGGTTCAAACTTCGATACCTGTTTCTGTATCAACCAAGCAGGTTGTCAGCATTCAATTTTTTGGTGTATCAACCAAGCGTGTTTGTATTTTTTTGGTGAAATCTCACGTGGATGTGCAATCATCAGCTCATCTCCTACTAAAATGCCAATCAGTTGAAATTTTCGCTTTCATGGGTGCAAGTGGTCGCTAAGGCTGTTAACTTGTGCGTAAATTTACTCTCGTACATCTATCTTCAACAGTTCAGTGGAAACTTTAGGAGATGGGTAGCTTGGGCCATCCAAAACATGAAAACTTTTGTTTTTAGACTAAATTGATTAACCTCAGAATGGAGGTTAACTCCAACCCGCCAATGCAAATTGAGAGCGAGCATTTCATTGCTAGACAGTAGACACAAACAAGTAGCTGCCACCAACCTCACAAAAAGCATTTCCAGATAACAACAAATGCAACTAAAGTAAAATGGCACTGAAAGCCTTACCAGCCCACTACCAAACTGCATGAAACAAACACATCCACTATTTCCTATAAAACCAAATTCTATGAACCGAAATTATCAATTCAAAACTGTACCAACCTCAGGATCATCAAAAGCAGCATTCACATCATCTAGGTTAACATCTTCATTTTCAAGAAGTCTGACAGGATCATAACCTCTTTTAAACCACTCATCATTCCTAATCTCCTCAATCCGAATACGCTGCACCAAGAAAGAGGAATGAAAAAGCGAGAAAGTTATTATCCCTTGTCAATAAAAAAAACATTAGTTGTATTGGCATGCATTTTCCAGATAAGATAATATGGAAATATCAGAAGTATGATGTTGGTGTATCAACGGTCACAATATCCTACTCATTTTATCGACCAACGACAATAATGAGAACAACAAAAATGTGAAACACACCCTCCTAGGTGGCATAAAATACTGCTATGTGGAAATATTGTACTAAAGTATCAATTGATGGCTCCATTGAGCCATCAAAAGTGGGTATGAATTTTTGCTATGCAATAGCCTATTTCAAGTACCCTTAAAGATCAGCTTCTACAGGCAAAATTGCTGCAAGTCGGTTGAATGGAGCTTACCTTCACTCACAGTTTCCCATGCACCCAATCAACAAAGTTGGGTAAAATAAAGCAGAACCAGACTATGATGTACAAGGTCCACACCTTTTTTGGTGGGGACCTACAACGTTTTTATTCATTGCTATTATCAATTCTTTGTAGACTTGGCACAATTAATTTGCTACTAGGAATGAATTATGATTTTGGGCCCAAGTTAGTAAAGGAAATAATTGTACATACACGTATCTGGTAAGTTCATACATATCTCTCCTCTACATAGCATATTAAATAAATGCATCCAGGAGGATGTACAAAATGGTATCCAGTAAGTATACAATTGTCGCACAATACTTACTGTCCCAGGGTTTGGGTCTAGAATTTGATTAATCAAAGATTTTGCTCCAACTGGAAACCAAGATGGACATGAAAACTCTGCTGTCTCAATCTGCAGAGAAGATGCATAAGTTGCAAGATTTCAATAATGTTGAAATGTAAAGCAGACTCCTATGCAGATAGAAAATATGCATTTTGAGTCCATAATCAGGACAAACATATTTAAATTGAGGTTTAAACCCGAGAAGTGGAGTCCCAAATGAAAATGATATCAAAAAGTATCATGAGATATAGATATGATGATAGTTTAATACCTTTCCATACAGCGTGGTGAGATCAACCTCATCAAACGGGAGATAACCTGCCATCAGCACATAAAGGATGACCCCACATGACCAAACATCTGCCACAGCACCATCATAACCCTTGTGACTAAGAACCTAGAGCAGAAAAGTGAAGAATGGGAAAAAAGAAGTTTAATGCAGGAGGAAAAGTGGGAGACCAAAACAATGTCATTTCCCATGTTTATTTTACATTTCTGCTCAAGAACTATAATAATTACCTCAGGTGCAACATAGTTAGGAGTTCCACAAGTTGTCCGAAGAAGGCTGACTCCCTATCACAAACAGCATCGCACAACACAATGATAAAAGTGTTATCAAATGCGACATTGTTAAGTCTGATGACTCTAATACACACTATAACCACTAGAAATCTTACTTGTTCAGGTAATGCACTAAGTCCAAAATCTGAAATTTTCAGATTTCCTTGGGAATCTAGCAAAAGATTTTCAGGCTGTACATAGCAAGAAAATTCAGTCAGTACAAAAATGAAACAATAATCACATTTTTTTTTGGCATCAGCCATGGAATACCTTCAAATCTCTGTGGTATACTCCTTTACTGTGGCAATAATCCACACCATCGATCAGCTGTTGGAAGTATCTACGAGCTTCAGCTTCACTAAGTCGTCCATGGTGAACCTGTATAAAAAAACGCATGATATCAGTAGCCAATTCAACATAAAAGAGCAGAACATTGCTTAGTGTAAATACACTGCATCCACAATAAGCTGCAGGATATTAAGCTAGAAGACTCACTATTTTATCAAATAACTCGCCACCTGTGATGAATTCTAAGATTATGTAGATCTTTGTCCGGCTTGCTATAACCTAACAAAATATATATAAGTTAGCAGGAGGAACACGTCAACAAAGAGAGAATTTCCCCACATGCAAAAAAGTCTAGAGTGATATTGGAAACTTAAGATTTCTATAACAAAAAGTTTATACTCTTGATTTTGAGCTCGTGCCTCGTGTAGACGGACAACATAAGGATGTCTGACAAGCTTCATTATGGATATCTCCCTCTTAATCTGGCCAGTCATCAAAGAATTACACATTGGTCAGAACAATAACACAACTGTGCAAATGAGATTCCACATTCGTCAAAGATATGAACCTAGTTTTACAGAGTAAGCACACAAATGAAATTCAATTCTCCACAATAGAAATGATGTCAAGATGATTTACAATTGCAAAGATTTACTTAACTAACTCAAAATGCACCATTTTCTCCAGGCAGCAATAGTAAATTCAAGGAGGCAGTTCAAGCTCTGGTGGATACTTGAACCAAGCTAGTGTTGCAGAACAAAGCAGACCAAGGATGGAAATGTTCTGAACTGGATAAGACTAAGTAACATATTCAATCTTTGTTCACTAGTAATTTTGCAAACAGAAGCTTGATGCACAAACCATACTGCGAGCTTGTCAAGTAGACTATCTCACTGTCAATTTTATGATTGGAACCAATACCTTTAACAATAATAACACAAATTAGAGACTAAAACTCTATGATACGTTTCAAAATAGTCAACAAGAGAAACATCCTGTGATCCACCTTATATATTAGATTAAAAAATTCACTGAACATGTTTGCATATTTCATTCCCTTTATACATTAGTCAAAAGATACTTATACTTTGTATATTAACACACATAAAATGTATTATTGTTGTTATGTATAACATCCACACAGCTCTTCATGAGCCCAGCAGAACTGAGATTGGTCTCCTTCAAGCTTGGTTTGTCCAACTAGACGATGAGCTTAAACCAGCTTCTTCGTCTAGCTGAGCCTAAGTTGTTTATGAGCTAGCTACTTCTTTAACTCGGATAAGAAATAGCTAGTAACAACCAGCCAAGCTTTAGAAGGTCATTTCCAATCCAGGCTCGATTTCTAAATTACGTTCCCAATAATCTTGATAATTACCGTCCACTTAAATTGGTAAAAAACAAATTTCATCAATCAAAACTTCAGCGTTCACAATTCACAAATGATATAGATTTCCTCTCCCCCAATTAATACATCTTGACAGAAGATTTCAATTAACCTGCCTCAAATCAATGCATTTTGCAGTTTATACATGAATTTGTGTATTTATCTGCTGCTTTTCACCATGTAATATAAGAATTAATGATTACTGAAGCTGTGTGTGTGTGAGAGAGAGAGAGAGATAGAGAGATTAAACTAACCTGTTCGACCATCTTGTGCCTGATAATGGTGCTTCGATCGAGGATTTTCATGGCGACACTCTCGCCAGTCTCGGTGTTCTGAGCGAACTTGACTTTGGCGAATGTTCCTTCTCCGATCGTCCTTCCCACCTCATACTTCCCCACTTTCCTCACCACCATCTCTCACTAAATTCCTCTCTTCTTCTTCTTCAACAAATTGCTCTCTTTCTCTCTGTCTGTCTGTCTCTATAACAACAACAAAAATTTCAACAAAGTGTGTTGGGCTTCACGAAGAAGCCTCTGGCTTTTCCACTTTCTTTATGTGTATTATATTGAATCTTTTCCCATCCACTAAACAATATGGCTGGAAAGCAGAAAAGAAGAGAACCTTGGCAAGTAGGCCAGTAAAAGCTATAACAAGTTTTTGTATTTAATTTTGGCTTTGTTTATAGTGAATAATATGTAATTAGGAAGAAAATCTGTAGAGACTTGGGACGGTTTCTGAAGGGGGATTAGGTTTGGTCAGGAGACACAGGGAGAAGTTGACAAATGGACCAGTTAGTGGCCGTGGTCGGAAGTGAATGTCAACGGTGGCCACCGAACATCGGCACTTATTTTTTTCTTTGACATTTCTCACTTCTTCGCCTCTGCTTCTATTTGTAAGACGCATGGGGAGGAACGGTGGTGCTAAACCCCATTTTTAAACAGTAATTTTACATTTACCAATAATGAGTTAATTAATTTTACATCTGCAAGTAACACGTGTCTTCGGTACTAAAAGCACCTCGGAGCCTTCATCACGTGACACCTGTCCTCAGCTTCCAAAGTTTTCCGAGGAGAACTCTACCCGACACGTGCCCTCCACGTCGGGTCCTCCGCTCCGTCGAGGTAATGGTGACCACCTTGGGACTTGGGCTATGACAAATAATTGAGTTCTTAGAGAAATCAAGAATAACGTCACCACATCAAAGAAATGTGTGACTTTTAATCATCAAATCCTCTTTCCAAGGTAGTTAGAATGATAAAGTAGACAATTTGGTGACCAATAGAGAGAGTTCATGAAGTACAAAACCCAGATGACTTGACCTCCTGGAGAGGCAAGGGACACAAATGCCCTAGCGCATGCGCAGCCACAATGAAGAACATTAAATGATTCATCAGAAGGATGTGATACATATATTGTTCAGCGGACTCCAAGGGAAATGCATTAACTGCTTGGGGGCCCGAGCATTAAATGCTAAAGCTTATTTTCATCTGACAAGGAAGACGCTCTACCCAAGGACTATGTTCCACAAATTGTCTTTCAAAGGGACCAATGAGGGACTTCCTCTCTAAGGGACCCACCTATCCGCAATGATTACCTTCATTGAGGTATAAATAGTTCTCACAAATGTAAGGCAAAGGGACGCAACTCTCATCCAAATAAAAGAACAATATTCTTTCTCCCTTCTTTCACGTATTGACTTAATCGTCGGAGGGGTCATGCCAGAAAACACTCCAGTGCTCTTCTAACTTTATTTTTTGAGTGGCAGAGTTCATCTCGACACGTCAGAATCGCGCAGACTGCCGAGAAAGTTATTCATCACCACTCCTTAATATCTTTCTCACTTCCTGTTGCTATGAGATCCTCGACTTTTAGGTAAATCTCGTGTTTATCAAAGAACAGATCTGTCCTTTTTATTTATTGTGTGAAAATTGCCTCGCACACTTATCGTAATTAAATTTTATTTAATTGTAACTTGTTTTAAAAAAATTATAATTTTTAGTATGATATTCAATTTGATATTTTAATATTACCTAGGCATCACAATACCAAGGCATTAAGTCGACATATTGATGTCAACTGAATGAACTCTTGGTTGTGTAGTTGCCATTTTGTACGGTCCATATAGTCAGATAATAAATCTATCTACATTATGACATTGTTGAAATCTGCCTTGAGTGATGACTCTAGTGCCATCTTCAATACAACCACACTGGCCACCTGTATCATGCATGTCAGGACGTTATGCAACTTGTAAAAATCAGATGATAGGTCATGCCCAGTGAGTAAAACATTCAGGACCGAGCATTATTTCTATTGTCAGACATTACATATCATAAAATGGATCATTAATGGGAGTCCTGACGGAAAGACATGCTATTAATGACGGTTTAATCTTCTAAACTCGTGGGAGATAGTTATCATTATTGCACGGAATATTTGCAATAGAATGAGACAACGATCTTCAAGCTGGCGAACCTAAAACAACAGGGTCAGAAAAAGGGGGCCAGATGAGTACCCGGCTAATCCCCTCCGAAGTTTAAGTCAATATAAGGTCGAAAGATTTTGCTCAATGAACTATTTTTCTCATTCGAGTTTGCGTACCTTTGTCCATTTTTCTGAGGAGTATTTATACTTAAATTAGCAATGATTATCAAAGATCTCCAGTCTTATTTAGACATCTTACGTCTGATACACTATTCCTCGCGCAATGAGTGTTTTCTACTCACGTCTCCTCCTATTGAATGTCAGGAAAATGGAATAAATGCTCAGCTAGATGCCGAGCATTTATGCCACTCCCCGAGTACCCAAATCCCCCAAATCGGCATCTGACATCAACTGATCATTGAATATTCGGAGGGAACAATTCATCGGGGGAGCCGATCGCGTTGTCTCGGCGCGTCAGTCATTAATGCTTAGCCATCATGACAGTAGTATTAGACTCCTAGAGGGCAGGTGCTAGTAGATGAGCATTTATTTGTCTTATCACTATAACTCATTTCACTATAAATGAGGAGTCATATCGCATTAAATACGATGTCAGTTGTCGTACTCGACTGCTCCGTGTCACCATACCTTGGCTTATCTCCTCGGCGCTCTTTAGACATCCCACCGGCTTCATTATTCCACGTGTCAACTCGGGGGCTGTAGAGCCACCTAGAGTCTTGCCAATTATTTTGCATTAATAACAACTAAATCGAGGAAGGAGCCCTTGGGAGCTCCTGAGAGGATGTAACAACCATTCATTATGGCTCAACTGTAAGGTCTGAATATTTTTTTAGATTGCTCGTTGGTCGGGGAATGAGTTTTTAATAGTTGGTGCGTGCCCAAGGGCGAGTCCAGGCATCTGAGTGCTCAATATTAATGAAAAGTGATGGGAGAGTACTCATTATGTTAGATGGTGAACCCATACTACTAAATGCTAGGATGGGACTCAGAGTAGGAGTTGTATTATTGTGTGTTGAGGTATAAATACTCTTATAAAAATGAGACTCAAGTAGGCAATCTGAATTTACAACATATTGTACACTCATTTTCACTTGAACGCCGACTGACTTAAGTATTGGAGGGAATTAGCTGGATGTACACCTAGCCCATTTCCTGACTTTGCTAAGTGTTTTCAGATTCACCATTCGAGTTTATGTAGAAGATCGCTATCTCAATCCATTGCAGAAAATTGCCTGTGCAATGCATATATGGCTAAAGGCTTTGATATTCAACTCTTAGGGTGGTCTAGTGGTGAAGTGACTCAAGCCGGTCCTCTTGTAATTAAGAAGTTTGAGGTTCAATATTTTTCACAACATAAGTGTCAATCACATTTGTTCCTCAGAAGATGTGTTCTTAAACTAATTCAAGTTATGGTGGCCTACTTAGAGCTCAAAACGCAAGAGAGAGTAGTTAACGCAAGCTTGAACACCTTGTAGCCCAAAAAAAAAAGAAATTGCTTTGGTATTGGGTCATTATTTGGACAATGGAGATGGGAAAGTAATTAGGGAAAAAATTATAGTTGGTCCCTAAATTTTATTTGTGGTTTCAATTTAGTCTATGAATTTTTAGTTGCCCCAATTCAGTCTCTGAATTTTTAATAGCCTCGGTTCAATCTTTCAACAATCAATTTTGTCTTAAGTAAGTCTTTTCATCAATTTTATCATTAAATCAATTGGAGATTAGCCCAATTTGATCCATTTCAGTGTTAATCTAACAATGAAAATTGACGACATGATGTAATTGAAATAAAAATTGATAGTTGATGAACTAAATTGTGACAATTGAAAGATTATGGATAAAATTAAAATCGAAAACAAAGTCCATGGACCAACTATAATTTTTACCCAAATAATAATGCAAGTTTTCAAATTTGAGTTTAGTTTTACAATAAATTAAGCTAAAAACTTTTATGCTTCTTGAGGGTGTTTTTTTTTCTCAAATTAGCAGGACAACAACTGATATTTTTTAAGAAGTGTAAAAACAGTTTCTTGGAGCTGGTGCAATCGACAATGAAAAAACTATTTTATCTTTATCCAACAAAGTTAAATATTTATAAACAAAAAAGGGGGCCAATGCGCAATTTGAGACTTCAATTTTCCTCAATATCAAATGTCCCTATCCATGACACAAACTCAAATACCATGGGATCTGTATGCTATTTTTTCAAGACTTAGGGGATGTTAGTGTAGTTTATCCCCAACCTAAATTGGCTTGGTGTATGAACCTAAATTTGAGGAAGAATACAATTAAGTCCGACCTTAGTATCATGTGATCTTATTGTCCTGTGTTCAGAGCCATAAGCCATGGATGCATCCCTCAAAGCTTCACAAGGAACTTCAAAAAATAATAATTTATTATATTGTTAAATATACCGTAGAATTCAACACATAGATACTGCACTTCCTCCAATTGAAAAAATTAGTCAAAATCTAGATGGAACCTGCTATTTATGTGTGAACCTCAATATCAGGAACTGCCTTAGAGTGCAATTCTCATGGTAGCTTTACACTTCCACTAAATCTGCATATATCCAGGAAGGTACATGAGGCATGAAACCAAAACCAAACGAAAGAAGTATGGCCGTTATGGGTCATTAAAGGGATGGTCTGTACTCTTTAAACTACCACATTTGAAAGATTAATACACAAAAGCTGTGTCATTGAATCTGCATTACAGCAAAATCATTTAGTAGTTCATCGTTTTCGAACCGAGGGATGGAGAAGAATCAAGAACTTGAATGGGTTGAAGCACAGAAGATTGGCATAAGCCAAGACCTTGTGGCTGCAGCCAAGCAGCAGCTAAAATTTCTAGCAGCTGTCGATAAGAATCGCCACCTCTATGATGGCCCTGCCTTAGAGAGAGCCATATATAGGTACATATGATACCAAGTTATTGCTCTATGATTTTATAAGCCTAACAGAATTTCAATCCTGAAGGAATTAATCACACTTTCTGATGCTCTCTCATCCATGCTCATGAAAAATTGTGAAGAATTGAACCTTATCGAATCATGCAGTTCACTTGTGGAGTTTGAACAACGAGTTAGGGACGTGTTGACATGTATGTGAGTTTCAGGTACAAATATTGTTGGCTTCCTTTACTAGCCAAACATGCCGAGTCCCAGTTTCCAGAGTTCCCTTTGGTAGTGCCTCTTGATTGTGAATGGATCTGGCATTGTCACAGGCTCAATCCGGTAGGCTCTTAAGATTATAGCACACTCGGCATGTACCAAAGTTCATCACATAAAACTACTAATTAAGATAAGCTCATTGATGTCAGGTACGGTACATGGTCGATTGCAAGGAGCTGTTTGGGAGGATCCTTGATAATCAAAATGTTGTGTCCTCAGTACAGGGCATTTCCAAACAACAAAGTGAAGAAATCTGGAAGATGATGTATCCAAACGAGTCGTATGAGCTGAATTGGACTGTCCACTTACAAAATGCGGCTGAAAATATGTTGCCAGCATCAGGAAGCACCAATTATGATCTTGTTTCAGCTGTTAAAAGGCAAAGTCCTTTCTACTTTCAGGTGACAAAAAACTTGTAAATTTCGCATGCTTGTTCTTTTCAAAAAAAGGTAATAAATTTCGCATGCTTGTTCTTTTCAAAAAAAGGTAAGCACAACAGGAGGATGTAAAAACTAGTGAAGATCAAGTGTTTTTGTGAAGTAAATTCACTCAGGCAAAGCATTTTACAAGAAAAATTTGTTTGTGAATTCCTATTGAAGCAACAATGGAATGTGGAAGGAATACAAATGCCTCGGTAAAATAAGGGTGAACTGAATTTGATAATGCAACTCCAATATCATACATCTATTTTGTTGATCAGTTGCAAGAATTCAAGGTTGAGCTGTGGTTATTGGCACCATATAAACTTTATGATCCCCACCCCCAAAAGAACCAAGTGGATATTTAGCCATGTTTGAGATTTCAACAGCCAAAGTCCCACCATTTTTGTTAACTTAGAACTGTGTACCTTTTTCGTGTAAACATATTTGACAGGTATCTACACCGAGTATGAATGATGATCTCTTCCTTGAAGGGGCTGTTGAAAGATACAAGGGGTTCCTGTATCTGATCAAGAAAAATACAGAGAGAAATATGAAGCGCTTCTGTGTTCCAACTTATGACATTGACCTTATCTGGCACTCTCACCAATTGCATCCGATATCTTATTGCAAGGATCTGATGGCAATACTAGGCAAGGTACTAGAGCACGATGACACAGATTCTGATAGAACTGAAGGGAATAAGCTGGATGTTGGATTTACTGCAACCACAAAGCAGTGGGAAGATACATTTGGTTTGAGGTATTGGAAGGCTGGGACAATGTTTAGAGGCAGTGGCCCATCTCCTCTCCTGAGCAATAAAAGCCCTTTTAAGACTGTGACCAAGGAAATAGTTCCCTCAATTGAGTATGACAAAATAATTTATCTGCCAAGGAAAATGCTCGTGGAGGTACCCTAAACTTTCCCTTGCCACTTCCTCAATTTTGGTTTTATTCAAATTACATATGCAGAAAAAGTGGACTGTGGTGATCCTTAACTATCACCGAAAGTTTTCTTTTATGTGTAAGATTATTTTAAGTGAAACTATAATGCTTTGGTATTTCAGTTTCCAAGCACATGATCCTTGGAAATTGATAGCCGTCCATCAAAGTTGTTCAGTCTGTGTACATTGGAGATTTTTGCTTTATTGTTTCCAATTCCTGTTCAGGTTTTCCTGGAGATTGTGGGGGTAAGGAACTTACCAGCTGGTCATACAGGCAGTCTCTTTGTCTATTTCAGTAAGAAACAGCCAGATGTGCTCTTCAACACCAAAAGAAGATTAAGCATTATGTCTGAGCTAGGGAAGAAGCAAGTTGCAGCTCTCCGTTGTGAACCTACTGGAGAGCTGCTTTTTGAACTCATGTCATACTTGCCTTCTAGCTTGCACACTGAAAATTCACTCAAAATTTTGGGAACTACTTCAATCGCGCTACAGGAGCTGCTGAACTCCATTTCCAAACTCTCAGTTGATAAATGGTTTGACTTGGTATCCAGTTCTGAAGTTGTAGGCTCCCAGCCAATTACTCTGCGGGTTGCTGTCTCTGTCACTCCTCCAGTTCAAGCACCATATCTGGTGCACATGGTTCGAGGGCACCCATTATCAAGCACTTCTTCCTTTCCACTTCCTGAAAGGTTTCAACAGGCCAAGAGTTGGACATGTATTGTAGATGAGGCTGGCAACGAGGTCATCAGTGTCCGAATGAGGTGCATACTCATTTATGAGCATGCTTTTGAAGGGCAACTGCATAATGCAATGAATTATTTATATTATTGTATCATCTTCATAAACTATCTTAATCTCTCTCATTTTCATAAATTTTCCAAGGCATTTGTAATCACACGATAGAACTTGAAATTATAAACCATTCTGAAGGTCTAATGTCAATAATTTGGGCTCTGTTTGTAGTGGGGATCCAAAGAAATCAGAGGGGAAGAGCAGTTGTACTTCTAGAAAAGAAGTAATTGGCGTAACAAGATCTGGTAAAACATGTCTTCTTGTGGAGTTGCTTGGAGAAGGATGGTCTTTGATGGGTTCCCAATGGTCCTTTCAGCTTCAGAAGAATGCTAGTGAAGATGACATTGCATTTGAGCTTATGGGCAGCAGAAAGGTCAGTATCTATATTGTAAGGGGTAGAAATTACTACGGATCTCATCTCTCCACTTAAAGGATTCCGGCCGACCTGGCGGCACCGAGCCCCAGTAGCCTTTACCTCTCTTCACCAATAGGACCATAGGACCCTTTCCTAAGGCAAATAGGACCCTTTCATAAGGCAATCCTACATCGGAAGAGAGTCGTCTTCCCCGGGGCTATTGGCGAAGAGAGGTAAAAACTACTGGGGCTCGGTGCCGCCAAGTCAGCCGGAATCCTTCAAGTGGAGGGATGAGATCCGTAGCGATTTCTACCCCATTACATATATCATCACTGGCTTGGTTTATAAATGTAACACCAGTATTGCAAAAGAATCAGACCACCAAGCAAAATAATGAAAAAAATTCCCTTAAAAGCAATTTCAGAACTTTCTTGTTCATGACCACTGATCAGAGTACCTTGGAACTTGGAAGCACATCAATCAGCTGGGACTTTTCCAAAGTCTCTTCTTTTGTTTCTCCCCTCGTTCTATCAGACAATCTGCTATAAATACCAAAAAATACATTTTGGCAGTCTATGTTGGTGGTAAAACTTGCTGATAAATTAATGTGATTTGTAAAGCTTTTTATTCAATTTCCACATGACACTTCCATGGGAGTTTTCTGAAATATCAACACTTTTTTCCCTCCAATATCATATTCTTGGATTGAAGCATCTTTATGGCACTGGAATGCTTTTCAATCCGTCCTGAAAAAATTCCATTCAAATTAGTTGAAGTTCAAGCATAAAATACTAAGATCTAATTCATAATTACTGATAGTTTAGAAATGATAGTAAAACTACTCAGTTGATTGAATTGCAAATTCATTAATATGCAATCCGTAATGAGGTGAAAAACTGTAAATATGTTCCTTTCTGCCCCATATTGGTGTCGATGGATTAAGAACAGCCTCGTCCCAACTCACGAATCCATGTAATTTACATGAACACATATATTAATCATTTACTATGAGCTACATCTAATTTTCATACAACATGAAAATGCGACACTTCTCTATAAATTTTTGCTCCAGATAACGATTTTTCATGGAAGAAAACTGGCATACGAAATAGAGGATTGCAAGAGGAAGGAAGATGAAAGGGATTTCATGACAGTAGTAGAATTCTCTGATGAAGATCCTTACGGAAAAGCAATAGCTTTGCTTAACCTGAAATCGGGTTTTCTCCGGGTAGATACCATTGTTTCTTCATTTGCTTATTTCATTAACTCAAATTTGAAGCTCCTCAGTAAAATTGAAATGCTTGAATTTGTGTATGAGATGGAACAGGTTGAGGAACAAGGGTTTGTATTGCCTGGAATCACCCTGGCCTTCATACTTTCCGACATTTTACTGAAAGAAGGCTACGGTTCTTCAAATTTGAAAAGAGAGAAAATTAGAGAGGCTCATGAAGCAATGCCAGAAAAGGATTGCCCATGCAGTGGAGAATGCAGCAAGAGAAATGGAACTGTCCAAAAAGGCCTTTTGAGCATAGAATATGGTGGCTGTGTCCATGCAAGTACAATGAAGAGCCACTGTTTTAGTGGGTTGACTGGAGCTAGTGCTTGCGGCGGGTCTGGTGGCTGTGGTGGCGGATGTGGTGGCAGCTGTGGTGGTGTAACTTGTAGTGGCGGAGGTTGTGAAGGAGAATGTTGAAGGGGTTGATGGTGTTTCTCAGAAGAAATAAGCTTGCCTCACTGCTTTGCTTATAAGATGACAAAATAAGGCATTGCACCAAATTAAAGTCATAAATAAGTGAAACATATTTTATTGGTTATCACTATTTTCAATATTTTGAAGTTGGAATTTACTTCTACTCTCACCAATAGATCATCACAATACTTTCCCGCTTACATACCAGATTAATACTGGATCTTGTGCAAAGTAGTCTCTCCACAAAAACAAAAGAGGGTAAATCTATGGGATGACCCAAGGAGCTATGCTTCGTGGGATATTTGAACTCTTGACTTGTCCCTCTTTATCATCTGACTGAGTTATCACTAGGCTAACCCTTTGAGGTTCATACTAGTCTAGTTGATTCCCACTAGGTTACTCGTCTAGTTAATTGCAACTTAATTTAAAATATTCATCGCAATCTTATCTTCAGATATAAGCAAATTCAAAAGATCCACCTAATCTAATTTGATATTGTGAGATCCAATGATTTATATCCACCAAAAAGAGAAGTAGCCTAATCAAATAATCAGCTTATGTAACTTTTTAATTCAATGTTGTCTTCTGCTTAGTAGTTTGGGATACAACAAAACTCTTTCAATTTTCTTTTCCACTTCATGTTATTTATGCTTAAGTGGTCAATTAATTGATATAAAGGTGTGTGTGTGTGTGAGAGAGAGAGAGAGAGAGAGAGAGAGAAGGGTGTACTACAAATCTTCAGTTTTTAGTGTGTTACACTAAATTATGATTTAATGTGAAACTGCCATTCAACTTTATTTTAGGAGGGGGCATTGGATAAAACAAAATGTTTTGACAGGCGGATTTAAAAAAAGGGATCCAAAAATCATTCATCTTCACTTAGAGAAGAGCATTATTCTAAGATTTTACTTCCTTCATGAGGCATGCTTTAAAAGCCGACAAAAGGCATGTTCTTCCCCTGGTAGAGTTTTAAAATGAACTATAAATATTAGTATGTTTTAAGCACACTTGAGTTAATTTTAGCTAGGTGTGTAATAAGAAGGCCCATATGAGTATTTTTAATAGTACTCTCCATTTTAGAGAGTATTTTTTTTTTTGAAATAAAAAATATCTTCATCAAAAAAATAAAATAGAGAATGAAATTTTTTATATAACTCCAATGAATTCTCTATTCTAACGAAAGAATAGTCTTTATAATCAAAACTTTTAATGAAAAAGGTATAATTCTCGTCTTATTATTCATTAATGATCGAATAAAGAGTTAAATGGAGAGAGTCAAATTAGACTCTCCAAATGTAGAGAGCTAAATTAGACTCTTTATTTTAACTAATCTAAATAGAGAGTCTATTGGAGATAAATTTTTAAGAGTTAACTCTCTAAAATAGAATTGAGAATCTATTAGAGAAGTTCTTATAGTGGTTGATTTGCTATGCAATCTCGATCTTAATAAAATTTTAATTACATCTGTTGCTGTTATTGACTTAAAAATTATTAGTTTTTCACATACAGAATAAGATTGAGTACATCTGGCTTTCTTATGATCTCGCATCGACGGCGAAGGCGACTGAACTCTTCTTCCTTAGCAGCTCAAAATAATTGATATTTTTGAACTTTGTTTGGCTACTCAAGTGTTGCTGTCAAATTTTAAGGAAAAAAGCAAATGTATTAAAAGGTGTTCTCTCTCTCCAGCATGTATTTGATATGAGAATAGTCATCCACCATTGATACAAAAGTCAAAATAGTGAAATGTACAAAACTGAAAGAGACAAGAAGTAAGAAAATTTTACAGCGTAAAAGTGAAAAATAAAATATATGGTCAGGAGTCTTTGTGCAATAACATATAGAAAGAAGTCAAAGAACAGCTGACAATATTTTCCATCAGCCAAAAAACAGAGTCTCTCGAAGTTGGGATTAGTAAAGTATTGCTACACACCCAAACCAATATACCATTCTCATGATCTCATCAGGCACACACAAGAACAAACATTATCAAATTGCCAAACAACCCCACTGATCAAAACTAAACACTATAAACTAACTGCACAATATTATAGTAAAATAAAATTTACATCCAACAAAATTTTAACAAGAAAAACTCCTATGATGGGATAACTAAAGAATGGTTAATCATAACCTCAAGGGGTAGATCATTGGAGATAGGATGACCCGTAAACTCATACATTTTCAATTTAAAATTTAACAATTATGTTGCCTTTCTGTGTTCTATAGAGTATGTAACTAATCATGAAAGATTAATCAAGTCTGTCTTTGATTAGTTAGAAAAGGAGGTAAGTTGGCTCAAACACTACTCGTTAGCATACCAAAAAAAAGTAGTTAAACATATAACATTTGCAAAAACTATACAGAGAATTCAATAATCACATTCACAACATAAACCACTCTAATAAAGTAGTTAAACATATAACATTTGCAAAAACTATACAGAGAATTCAATAATCACATTCACAACATAAACCACTCTAATGTTCTCATCAATGTATTCTCAACAAAAACAAACTGCCCAAACAAACAAAACTAATGCACTAAACACCATAAATTTGCACAAAAAAACCACAATTTGCACAAACCACTATGCTATAATGTTCTTATTAGTTTCTCAAGAAGTGAACAACAAGAAAAAAAAATCACACAGAAGCCTGAGAACCCTTGGATGCAACATCCTAACCCTCTTGATTTAACGCGCCACCACTTTGCCTCACATCCATCGCCGCGCTCACCGCCTGATATTGCGGCACCACCCCTCCTGGTGCAGTGTAGTACACCTGCCTCCCTGCCCCGTCATAGCCAACCTGCGCATACCCCGCCTCCGTCACCCCAATTCCGCCGCTCATTTGCGGCCGTACCATTCCAATGGCTTCGCTGTAGCCTCCAATTTTCGGTTGCTGAATCGATTGCTGTGGGACCAGATTGTACATTGGTTGTTCTCGGTAAACCTCCGGTACTACTCTTTGCATCCCATAGTAACCCTGGCCGACTTGTCCGGTCACCGGACGCATTGCCGGAGCCTGATACATACCAGCCGCCGTAGGAATCAGATAAACCTGCTGTTCATTTCCCGGCGCTGCCGCCATAGGGTAAATTCCGCTATTCATGTGCCGTTCTGAAAAGTATGACCCCGGAATTTGCACCGGCACCGTCGGTTGCGGCAGCGAAAGTTTTTCTTGAAGTTTCTGTTGATAATACTCTCCAGAATAGCCCCTAGGATTTGTTTCGTCGATTTTCCGGTTAAACATAGCTTGATCGTGACTTGAAATCTGCAGTCTCTGGAACTCCGCCGGGGAGACCACGGGGTCTCCAATTACATGCCGATCCTCCGATCCACAATCCGATCCGGCATGAAATTCTTTTGCAGTTATCTCCGGAACCGTCGGTTGCTGCGGCGGCGGATCTTGTAATTTCGATGCCACTACTGGCGGCGCTTGACTTTTCTCCAGACCAAACAAAAAGTCCGGAATTGCCGTCGATGTCGCAGCCGATGGAGAAGAAGTCTCCAGATTCTGTATCTGCACAGAATTCAAGGCGTCAACGAACCATTGTCGCTCCGATTTAGTATCGTTCGTACCAAAAGTACTAGACGGAGGATTCACAGGGAACAAAAACAGTCTAAGTCTCGCGGGCTTAGCCGAAGCACGATAGAGCCTATCATACTCAAGCATCATATGCTCTAAATCCTCATCAGTAGTTACCGAAATCAAAGCGTCAAGATCTTCACCAGGCAACTGGTACTTGAAGCAGGCATCGGAGTCGCACAGAGACGACAATTTCTGCATGAAGCCGGAGAACCGGATGTTCCGGTCGACGGCTAAGATCTTGGTGTCACCGCCGACGTACGTGAGTTGATTGTCATGTGGTCTTGGGTGGATTTTTCCGCCATAGCTGCACATAAATTTGACTTTGTAGTTGGTGGGTGGTTCATCCCATGAAGCGTTTTCGCAATCGATTTCTCGGGAACGCGGTGAGGAGTTGCCTGAGTCCGGGTAAGAAGAGTAGGACAAGTTTTCCATTTGGATATATGTTTATGGTGAAATTTTGGGGGTTTCTGATCAGAGGAATTGCCTTTAGGGTTTGGAGTTTATGAAAAAGTGAGGGGTGGAGGACAAGAGAGGAGGACCTGGAGAAGACTGCTCAGAGAGAGGGAGGAGAGAGATTCTTGTGTGGTGAGTGGGGGAAGGTTATTGGTGGGGGTGGTGGGACCCTTTACTTGGTCTATTATTGATTGTGTTCTTCAAGCTAGGATCATCTACGGTCGATACCAAATTGAACCGCACGGTTCAACTTTAATGTGATCGTGTTTGTCTAGATCGTGATTATCTAGAATTTGTGTTGCGTATTTATAACTTAAAAACTAATATTATACTAATCAAATTTGTTAAATTAATATAAAGTAATTGACTTAGTAGATCCTATTTCTTTTTATTAATCACCTGATGACTATCGATATGTATTATTAAACAAAAAGAATTTGAGAATATAATTAGAAGTTTAGCAGTTAAGTTTAATTTTTGAAAATTCAGAATTGTGTTAGTCAGTCGCTGATTACGAAAGAATAGTCTTACAGCAAATCAAAAAAAATCGAAATGAGTTATTTATTCTTTAAATTTATCGGAATACTTCATTATTTGTTCAACAAAGTTATAATATTTTGAATATATATTGGGAAATAATTAATTTAAATCCATTAATTTTATGTCAATTTATATTATGCTAATATATTGTGGTGAAAATTATAACTAAGATCTACTTCTATGATATCATGCCAAATGAATTGTGATGTCCCAATCTAAAACCAGATGAGTCTGATTGTATAGCTAATATCGAATTCCACCAACTAGGAGAGACGCGACCTCAGAGGATTCAGATCTGCGGAGTAGAAAGATAAAGCTGATGCGTGGAAGGGAGAGTCGAAAATGATTCGAGTGCCACTCAAACAAATATATATATATATATATATAATGCAAATAAATAAATAAAATTGAATAAAG